GGGGGCGGGAATCGCAGCGGAATGCCGGTGCTCCGGCATTCGGCTGGGATTCGGGGGGAGGCCACCGTCTCCATTGCACGCCGGTGTTCCGGCAGGAGGCGGTGGCAAGGGGGAGCTCCTCCGTCCGCGGGCTCGTCGTGGACGGGTTCGCGGGCGGGGGAGAGCCGGACCCCGGAGGTATTGGGACGTGGTCCTAGCCGAAGGGTGGGCCGGAAGCCGTGGCCTCCCCGCGGTTGACTCGGACGTGGTCCGTTTCTTCCGGGAGGAGGGGCCGGACCTCCGCGGGAAACTGGTACCCAGGATCCGCGGAGTGGGCCGGAAGCTAGAAGCTGGGCGGCAATCAGTCGCCCAGCACCCGCCTGTCTCTGTGAACTCGTCAACCCCTGTGTCTGGGGCTGACGTCCCGTTGCTGGGGCGTGCGGCCTGGCATAGGGGGTGGGGGGCGGGGAAGTAGGGGCAGGTGGGATGAGGGACCGTCTCCTCGCGGCTGGGCCGGATGTCATCCGGCCCTCCCGGGACGGGGCGGGGCCCCGGGTACACGTCGGGTCATAGACCCGCGTCGCCCGGTTGGCCCGGCGTAGACGGGGGATCGGGGCCGCTCGGACGTTTCCGAAACGGGGCCTGGTCTCCCGGAGGACTCCGGGAGCCGCTGGGACGTATTCCCAGGCAGGGTCCCGGGGTCTGGAGCGGTGTTCCCGCCGGAACCCGTTGGTCCCTGTGTCCGGGGCGGCCGTACCTCTCGGGGTGCGGGCGGCTTGGCGCAGGGGTGGGCGGGGGATGGTGGAACACTGAGGGAGAGTAAGCCCTGTCTGTGTCTTATGGGTGAGCAAGTAAATAGGGTGGGTAGATGCAGCAGGGCGGGGCCGGGAGGCCGCTGGAACTTATTTCCAGGGCGTGGGCTCGCCGGTCGGGGGGATGCTGGGGCCGCTTGGACATATTCCAAGGCCTGGGCCTGGCGCCCCCAGTCGGGATCCGGGTGGGACGGCCTCCGCCCGTTAGATAGGGTGGTCCCATACCGGTACCGACGGGTAGGCGCGTGCATGCTGGTCGCCCTGGCGGGCAAGGTGGAGGTGAGCGGGCCACTCGCTGACACCCCAACCGTCCAGGGGGCCTCCTCGCAGTGGCGAGCACGTACAGAGTGTCCGCGAGGTCGGAGGCGCGGAACCCCCGAAACTCCTGCACTGGAGTCATCTGGTGCAGGGGCCAGTAAGGGGCTGGAACCCAGTGGTGGGGTGCGGCATCCCCCCACCCAGCGGTATATGTTCACTCCCCGGGAGGACTCGGGGCCCGGGTCTCGGCCGGCCGTGGTCATGTTTCGCGGTCGGTTGGGGCCCGGTGGGGGTATACCCTGGTGAACGGAGCTCTGTGCGGAGTGGGAATTGCTTAAAATGAGTAGTGCAACAAAAAAAACCCCAGTATACGTGAATGTGAATGTGTGAACGAGTGCGTGTGCATGACTGATAGGACGGAGGGAGGAGGAGGCGAGAGGTCGAAGGAACACGACCATCCTACAACCTCTAAGGCGACAAGCTCTAAGGCGACCCCGGAGCCAGTGTTTGCCTTCCGGGCCCGAGAAGGGAAAATTGCCGTAGTGCGGCTGAGGAGATATAAGCCTTTTTTTTTGTAACCCGGGGGAATCCTTTATGGATCATCACCCCTCGACCTGCTGGGACAGGGAGGGGTGGTATGTGGGACTGACCTCCCTGGTCTCGGGTGTAAGACCCGAGACCAGTAGTGCAATGGAGCCATACCGCACTAAACCCACCGGGGGTGGTCTTCTCTGCGCAATGACTGGGCCACCTGGGAAATCGCTAAGCATAGCTTCCAGTTGGCCCTGCGCCGCGCGTTGACTCGCGCCCTACTGTGGCCCTTAAAAGGGGCCCAGTCCTTAGAAGGACTACCTCCTCTTTCTTCCTCGCGGCGGGGGTGCCACCGGGCCCTCCGCCGCTCCCCCTAGTTGTTGGTGGGGGCGGGTGGGTCGTGGGTCTCCAGCCCACGCCCACCCCCAAGGGTCCCCAGACTCCTCGGCTCTTCTCCTTTTAGTCGCCTTTTACGACAGGCAGGAGCTACCCCGGGCCTATTCTTCACGCGGTACCCGGACGCAAAAAGGGGGGACCCTCATCTGTGCACCTTCGCTTGGTGCTCTCCTCTTCCGCCTATACTTAAGCGACGGAGGTTGGGGGAGGGACTAACCTTAACGGTCTGTCCCCCTCCTTTCTCTTTCACCTCCTCCGATGTTCCCATGGGCGCAAGTGCGCTGGTAGACGGCGCGCTCTTCTCATCCCTCTTCGCGCCGCACCCCCTCTCTGAGTGGGCTGGGGATCTGTCTCCCCTCTCCTCACTCTCTCTGCTTTCTCCTTTTGGGTCATCACCCTCTCACAAAATAAGGAGAACGCAGTCCACTCCTTCTTCCCTCTCACCACAGCTTCCACAATCGCTTCCAACGAGAGGTTGTTCCCTATCTCCGCCCTAAGGACGTCGCGCTGGTCCTCCCACGCGGGGCAGAACTCTAGCGTATGCTGCGCCGTGTCTACGCTGTCCCCCTCGCAGTGGAAGCACTTGTCGGATGCTTCCTTTTTTATCCTTTTTTATTCACTGAAGCATCCATGCCCAGTGAATACCTGCGTTGCTCTATAGGAGCTTCGGGCCCATGGCCTTTCCAGCCACTGTTCCAGTTGGGGGAGGATTGCCTGGACCGTACGCTTTCCGGCGCAGTCTGGCCTCTCCAGCCACTCCCTCCACATCAATCTGGTCTCTCACTTCATCCTCTGATGTATCCTTCTCCTGGCCTTTCCAGTGACCGGGATCCGTTCCCTTTTGTATTGCGCAATTTGCTCATACGCCCTCGCATATGCCCCAGCCATGAGGTGTATGGGGGGCATCCCCGCCAACACCGTCGCCGCCGCATGGGATACGGTCCTGTACGCTCTCGTCGCTCGCGTAGCCATGCGTCTCTGCGTCGATCTCAGGATTGCCATAGCCTTTTTCCGCTTTGGCAGGTCCTCCGCCCACACCGGGGCTCCGTACAGCGCAATAGAGTTCAGGACGTTTGCGAACAATTTCCTGACCCTACCGCTGGGCCCCCCTAAGTTAGGCATCAGCCTGGATAAGGAGTTGGCCGTCGCGTCTAGTCTGGGTGCCAGCTTTTCGAAATGATACTCGAAATTCCATTTCTCGTCCAGATAGAGGCCCAGATATTTGATCTGGGCCCCCACCTTTATGCGTGTATCCTCCACCCAGACGAATGTCTCCGGTGGCGGTCCCCTTTTCCCGTCGTGTATGAAGACCGCTTCTGTTTTATTTGCGGCCACTCGGAGTCCCAGCCCAGTGATGGCTCTCGTTGCACATGCCACCGCAGCATTGGCAGTGGCAGTTGCTTCCACCCAGTCCCTGCCACCGGCCAGCACCAAGGTATCGTCCGCATAGCAGACCAGGGTGCTGCCGGTGGGCAGGGCCGTCCGAAGGACTTCGTCATATGCCACGTCCCACAGAAATTGGTCCTAGGACTGAACCCTGTGGGACGCCGCAGCCAGCCTCCCATCTTCTAGGATTGCCATCCCGGTCTTGGCAGGTAATAAACCTCCCCCCAAGGTAGCTCCCAATCACCTTACGGATGTAAGTAGGTACTTCCTGTTCCACCAAGGCCCTGCGGATAGCGGCGTGCGGGAGGGAGTTGAAGGCATTCGAGATATCGAGCGCCACAGCCATCACAACCCCTCCCGCACCCACCATTTCCCCGGTCTGATTGCGGACCCATTTAATGGCGTCGACCGTTGACCTATTCTCCCTGAACCCGAACTGTCGGTCTGATAGCCCGGGTCCCGCACCGCTCTCCAAGCTCCGGACGAGGCGGGAAACCACGATCCTCTCGAAGATCTTTCCCGCCTCGTCCAAGAGGCAGATCGGCCTATACGAGGCCGGTACGTCCGCTGGTTTGCCCGCCTTCGGGAGAACCAGTCTGGCCTCCTTCCAAATTTCCGGGAACTTACCCAATCTTAGGCACGCGTTCATCGTTCCACGTAGCCTGTTCGAAACCGCTCCCATGGCTGCCTTCCAGGCTATTCCTGGCACGCCATCCGGGCCTGGCGCTTTCCCGGTCTTCAGTTTTTTTGCCGCTCTGGCCAGCTCGGAGTCTGAGACCTCCAACTCCTCGTTCCACTCCGTGTGCTCCTCAAGCGTGGCCCGGTGGTGATCGTCCTCCCGTTCCGCTTTTGGGAACAGTGTCTCCACCACCACGCCCAGGAACCCCGGATCGAGCGTCTCCACCGCCGGGGGCGCCCCCTTGCTAAGCTTGTCCATGACTAGCTTATAGGGACGCCCCCACGGGTCCTCATCCAGGGACTTCAATAGGCTATCCCAGGCTTTTTCCTTGGCGCGCCCAATGCTAGTCCTGAGGGCCTTGCGACTCTCCCTGTAGTTTTCCCGCAGCATCTCCGTGTCCTGCGGTGTTCTCCTCCTGCGTGCCCGTTGCAATTCCCTTCGCGCGTGTACTGCCGCCTTCCTCAGATCCTCGATCTCCTGGGACCACCAATACACGGCCTTCCTTGCTTTAAAGCTTGCCCTAGGCATCGCCGCGTCGCACGCTCTTGTCATCATGGCTCTCAACCTCGTGGCCTGCGCTTCTATGTCGTCCTCTTGGATTTCGAGTGGCCATGTTTCCGCCAATATAGACGCCACCAGACTGTCAGCGTCCATTTTTCTAGCAGCCCATCTGAGCGGGCGTCTGTCCGATCCTCCTCTCGTCGGTCTGTCGTTCCCCATTTTGAGCGCGAACTCAATCGGGACGTGGTCCGACAGGAAGTCGGTGTTCTCCAACACTCTCCAGGAGGTTATTCTCCTCGCAGCCGCAGGGGAAGTCCATGTCAGATCGACGATGGACTCCCCCTGCGGTCTTACGCAGGTGCTCGCGCTCCCCCTGTTTTCCAGGTGGAGGCATAATCGGGCCGCCCACTCCTCCACATCGGCCCCCTTTCCGTCCGGCCGCCGGGAACCCCAAGTTGCCGACTTGGCATTGAAGTCCCCGGCGACCACAACGGGTTCGGGGAGGACCCTCAGGATTTGGTCTTCCATCTCCAGAAGCTTATCTTCTGCTCCGCACGAGTGAGACTGGGTCTGATATAGACTCCCATCACTACGATGGGGCCCCATCTCGCCATAACC